GTAGCCGTGGGGCGGTTAGGTGTGGCGGGGACGTGGGGCTGGGGGTGGAAGGTTGGGGATGGCCACGAGGGGACAGGTATCGCGGGCACGTGGTGGGCTCGGGGACAACCCTGGTGGGGGTGACGGGTGGGGGACGCCCTGTCCTTGTTCTCCTGCAGGCTCCAACTACTACGTGCGGATCCTGAGCACCATCGACCGGGAGCTGCTGAAGCCCAATGCCTCGGTGGCCCTGCACAAGCACAGCAACGCGCTGGTGGACGTCCTCCCACCCGAGGCCGACAGCAGCATCATGATGCTCACGTCAGGTGGGCCACCACTTGCCCCGGGGCCACCACCCTGTGTCCCAGGGAGCCAGCGTTTCGGGGTGTAGAGCGCCGGCCAGCGCTGTGGGCGGTGGGACCAAGGGCGTTCTCAGCAGGTTCATGGGTTCCGCCAAGCTGGGGAGATGCCACGGTGCTGCAGGCCGGAGGCCTTTAGAGGAACCTCCAGAGCTGGACCCAAATGGTGGAGAGCAACTGGACGTGGTCCAGGTCCACCCGGAGGGGTGGTGGGTCTCCATCCTCGGACGTAGCCGTCCCTCACCTGGGTTAGATCCTGAGCGCCCCGCTCTGGTCGGAGGAGGTTGGACCGGGAACTTCTTGTCCCCGCTGTCTCGGGAGGGTGGTGGGTCTCCGTCGTTGGAGATGTGAAGTGATTTGCTGTGGTTGGAAAGATGGAGGTTGGACCAGGGACCTCCTGTCCCTGCTGCCCCAAGTGATCTGCTCTGGTCGGAGATGTTTTGCGGAGGAGGTTGGACCAAGGACCTTTCGTCTCTGCCGTCACAGGTGGACGGAGCCGGGGCTGAGGCCTAGATGGGTGGTGGGTCTCCGTCTTTGGGAGACATCCAACCCTCAGCCGGGCAAGGTCCTGAGCGCCCCACCCCCCTCGGAGAACTTTTGAGGGAGACGTTGGGCCAGGGACCTGCTGTCCCGAGGGCTTGGAACCATGACCAAGGGTGGTGGACTTCCATCCTTGGAGCTACCCAGCCGTCATCTGGACAAGGTCCCAAGTGACCTACTCCGGCCCAAGGTGTTTTGGGGAGGAGGTTGCGCTAGGAGTCTCCTGTCCTTGTTGTCCCAAGAGGATGGAGCCGTGACCAAGACCTAGATGGGTGGTGGTGGGTCTCCATCCTTGGAGCCACCCAGCCATCAGGTGGAGAAGGTCTGAAGTGACCAACTGTGGCTGAAGGTGTTTCGGGGAGGAGGTTGGAACAGGAAGCTCTTGTCCTGGTTGCCACTTAAGGATGGAAGCCTGGAGGGGGTGGTGGGTCTCCATCCTTGGAGCTACCCGACCATCACCTGGGCAGGTGACCTGGTCTGGTTGGGGCTCTTCTCTGGTGGCCAAGGTTGCCACGCAGCGCCCTCCAAGGACCCCGGCCACCGTGGTGGCCCCGGCAGGTGCCCCGCTGATGGCCTGTCCCCATTTCAGACCAGAAGCCGGACGTGATGTACGCCGACATCGGGGGCATGGACATCCAGAAGCAGGAGGTGCGGGAGGCCGTGGAGCTGCCCCTCACCCACTTCGAGCTCTACAAGCAGGTGAGGCCACGCGACGCCGTAGGGTGGGGGGCACGCGGGACCTTTGGTGACCCATGACGTCACCCCCGGGTGTTGTGTCCCCACCCAGATCGGCATTGACCCCCCGCGGGGCGTCCTCATGTACGGACCCCCCGGCTGCGGCAAGACCATGTTGGCCAAGGCCGTGGCCCACCACACCACAGGTGGGACACCCCGGGGTGCTGGGGGCACCCGTGGTGGGGTCCTTGGGGGGGTGGTGGTGACCTCGGGGTGCTGGGGTAACCACTGGGTGGCGATGGGGGTCCTTGGGTTGGTTGGGGTCCTTGGGTTGGTGTTGGGGTGCCCCAGGGTGGTGGTGGGGTAACCATTGGGTGGTGGTGGTATCCTTGAGTAGTGGTGGGGTCTTTGGGGTGCTGTGGGGGCACGCCAGGGTGCTGGTAGGATCCATGGGGTGCTGGTGGGGTCCTTGGGGTGGTGGGGTACCCTTGGGAAGGTCATGGAGTTCATGGGGTGCTGGTAAGGTTCTGGGGGCACCCCAGAGTGGTGGGGGCACCCCAGGGTGCTGGTGCGGTCCTTGGGGGTGTTGAGGTTACCCCAGGGTGCTGGTGCAGTCCTTGGGTTGCGGGTGGGGTTCTTGGGGTGGCAGTGGCACCCCAGGGTGCTGATGGGCTCCTTGGGGTTCTCGGGGAACCCCAGGGTGCTAGCGGGGTGCTGGTGGGTTCCTTGGGGTGCTGGTGGGTTCCTTGGGGTGCTGGTGGCCAGGGGAGGTCTGGGGGTGCTCCCAGGGGCACCCCCACCCAGACGGAAGGTCCCAGCCCCTGCGGGTGCCCCCCAGCCGCCTTCATCCGGGTGGTGGGCTCGGAGTTCGTGCAGAAGTACCTGGGGGAGGGTCCCCGCATGGTGCGCGATGTCTTCCGCCTGGCCAAGGAGAACGCCCCCGCCATCATCTTCATCGATGAGATCGACGCCATCGCCACCAAGCGCTTCGACGCCCAGACCGGGGGTGAGGGGACGTGGGGACCCTGTGGTGGGATTCGGGGACCCTTTGGTGGTCCTTGGGGCTTGGGTGGGGGTCAGGGAGCCCCTGGAGGACCCCGTGGTGGGGTTTGGGGACCCCTTGGTGTCCCTTGGTCCTTGGGGTGGCTCCAGGGTGGGGGTCAGGGACGTCCTGATGTTGGTGTCTCCGGGTCCTTGGGGCTTGGGTGGGGGTCAGGGAGCCCCTGGAGGACCCCGTGGTGGGGTTTGAGGACCCCTTGGTGGGGTTTGGGGACCCCTTGGTGTCCCCTGGTCCTTGGGGCTTGGGGTGGGGGGGTCAGGAACCCTCTGGAGAACCCCATGGTGGGGATCAGGGCCACCCTGGTCCTTGGGGCTGGGGTGGAGGTCAGGAACCCTCTGGAGAACCCCATGGTGGAGGTCAGGGACCTCCTGGTCCTGGGGGTGGCTCCAGGGGTGGGGGTCAGGGATGTCCTGGTGTCCCCAGGTCCTTGGAGCTGGGATGGGGGGGGGGGGCGGGAACCCCCTAG